TTCAAATGTGATGAAATATGGTTGCCAGATTTGCGGTGACCTTACACCCTTTGGTCTTAAACTTACTTATTTTATTGAACGTAGACTTGGAAGTTGCTAACAATACTTGCACCATTAATTGGTTCCAGTAGATTCTTTCTCGACCGGCCTTCAATTTAAAAAAGCAATGATTGTTGAGGAAAGCAAGCCATTTATTTAGTCTTGCAAAATGACTTAATAGGAGTATAGTTGTGGCATACAGCTTATTATGGACCCCAATACAGAAACTAAAATGTACCTTGTCTTCTTTAGACTGTAACTCATTTCCCCAAGATATGAACGCAGAGTTGTGTTTGCAGCCCCTGCAATGCAATATTTCACAAATTGGGCCAAGTTTATTTTCTCTAAATGCTTTAACCAGCATGTGCACCCCTCTCACTGTTGGGTTTGAATTTGAATTTGCTTTAGCAAAGATTACATGGATAAACACAGCATTGTCACAGTTAATAGAAACCTGTGCAGTGAGGTCTGAGGTTGCAAGATCAGTAACGGTGTCAATGACAGTGAAGTATGGCCTTATCGAAAAGAGAATTCATAAGAGGCTGCCCTGGGACACTCCGCCACTGTCCTTCTGTGTATTCTGACAATGTTATCTGTCCTCTCAGCGCTGAGTATCAAATGTCTATCATGAGTATAGAAATTAATTTAATGTCACCTGAAGACATGCAATTAATCTTTTAGAGGTTTTCATAATACCTTTACAGAAAGAGTTGCCAGTTTGGCGGATTTGGATTTTAGGGTTTAGTTGAAGATAAGGAAAATTAATTTTTCATCAGGGTTAATACAAGCTAGCAGGGGTACAAAGGCTGAGAGAGATGGTTAGGGAATTTGTCAAGTGTTGTCACTTGGAATAATGGTGCTTAACGTCTGATAGGTGTAATCAAGAGTTGAGAATTCTATAGAAAGGGATTAATCAATTTGCTCACTACAGAATGCACGCGAGTGATACCGTTTATTTGTGCGGTTTTAAGAATTAGAATAAGATTTGATCTCTCAAATTGCAAGAAGCTCTGACAGTATCAATGGGGCAGTATTTTATCAGGACATCCTCAAAGCATTTGTTATAAATAAAATTGTCCAGCTAATGTTGATAGCCAACTGACTTCATCTTCATTGTGAAACTGTCAAGGTATTTGTGAGAAAAGTGCAGCTTACAAAATTTTGGTGCTCCTTCATTGCTCTTATTTATTAACAGCCTTTCTAATAAAGCATGATCAGAGCTTACCTTTCTAAAAAAATAAATAACGGAATTGGATGCTTCTGAATCTTATTATTTAATTTTTTGCCTTTTCAACCGGAATTAATGAAGATGATATAGAAGCAAATTAATAACAATCTTAGTTTTTAGACCGTGTAATGAGGTGTTAGTCTACAGAAAATTTTTTATTGTACCCCTGAAGAAGGTATGTGTCCACTTATAGTAAATATAATAACCACACTGATGGGCAAATATGCCATTTCTTGATTTTTAGATATGCAGAATCTATTATTTGTAGATCAGCTGATCAAGGCATTCTATGACAAGAGCTCTCCTGCTTAGCTTTATTTCTGATAGTCAGCTCGCTTTTTCATACACCTAATCCTGCTCTTGGCTTGTCATTCAAAAATAATACAAATATGAGTTTCTGAGGGGGGATTTAATGTGTTTAGTTCCAAGTAGGAAAGTGTGTTTATTTACCAGCAGGGACATACTGCATTTCTCTGCTCCTGTATAAATGCAGTTTTAAAGTTCTGTGGAATGATAACCATTGCAGAAAGATTTCACTGTGGGTACTTCAGCTTTGATTAATATATTTTAAGTTGTAGAATAAAGTATTAGAGTTGGAAACTCTCTTAGAATATACCTAGTTCTTATCTTCAGTTTATCATGTCTGTTTAAAACACGTAGGTCTTTGCAAAGTTTACAGCTTTTCTAGAATTGTGTTGGTTTTAATTTATCCTCAGAGTTGGGATGGAATATATCAGTGATGGCAAACCTTTTAGAGACCGAGTGCCCAAACTGCAACCCCAAACCCAGTTATTTATCATAGGGTGCCAGGTGGGCGTGGCCCACTGTGTGGGCGTGATCACCTCAATGTTGTTTGTGGGAAGGGACATCTGTGAGAGCCGGGCAGGGTTGGGGGAAATCCAGGGGGTTTCTGGCAGGTGGGGCAGTGGGCAGGAGACTCTTCCTGCAGGGTGAGGCGAGGGAAGGCGAGGCAGGACGGGGTAGCCATTGTCGCAGGGCAAAGCGAGGCAGGGGCCGAGGCGGCGGCTGCCTGACACCATTGGCCCCCGCACACACAGGCCAGTGAGTGCATGGGTGCTGGGATGCATACAGCCACGTGGACCTCGGCGAGTTAGCAGGCGGCTGGTTGAAGAGGGACGGTTGCCATCTCCGGGACATGGCGCACGTGCCCACAGAGAGGGTTCGCATGCCATAGGTTCGCCACCACTGGAATATATCATTCATGAATAACAGAATGCCATTTCCTCAAGAATTTTCTTAAGGAACACATCACATAACCATGGGTGGACTTGATTTCCTTTGAACGATCATAGTTAGAAAAGTTCTGCATGGTATATAAAGACAGTAGTCTACCTAGATCAGATCAAAATCCTAACTGATCTTAATCTAGCATCTTTACATTTCCATTAGGCATGTGCAAAACATTGTATTATTTTGAATGGTCCATATCCATACTGAAATTATTAAGAGCTTATTTGGGCACAGACCTTGAATGTACGTATACTGGCAAAGATGCTCCAGGTTGGGAGGCAATGGCTAAAACATGGGAGGGATAAGGTCAGTTAAGACTCTGGGAGAGGGAGATGTGTGCCAGAATGGAAATGAAGACAGGAAGGAGGTGTCTGATTTGGACCTGAGTCGAGGGGAGGAGTGAAAATGCTGGCTATCCTTTTGCAGTATTTATCTAGTAATTCTGTATGAGTGTGTGAGTCTGGTGAGATTCTTGCCAATAGACAAATAGCAATAAACATATCGTTCTGATCAGCTCCTTGTGCTATTCTGGTTTCTTGCCCCAGATAGAAGATGAGCATGGGCTAAAAAAAAATAATGGAAAATTGGGGGCCTGGATAGGTTTACTATGCTTGCATTCTGGTGCAGTGGTGGGTAAGGAAAAGGAACATGCTGGAAATACTGATCAGCAAACTGGTACAGAGATCATGCAGAGAGGGAGAGGAGAGAGGAACAAGCTTGTCAGCCTTCCTCAAGTTTGCCTATTAGACGAAAGAGTCATCTGATACGGAAACTAGAAAGAAAATATAAGACACAAATTATTTACTACTGCATATAGTAACAGCGGCACGAATAGCCTTTGCTCAAAAATGGAAAGAGAAAGATACTCCAACCGAAGAGGAAATATTACTGAAAATTTTCAACTGCGCTGAAAAGGATGGACTTACATGGGAACTCAAGGACAAAAGTGAAACCAAGTACTATAAAATCTGGGAACAATTTTATGATTGGATAGACCAGGGGTAGGCAACCTTGGCTCTTTTATGACTTGTGGACTTCAACTCCCAGAATTCCTGAGCCAGCCATGCTGAGGGGAAAGGGAGAGGTTTCCAAGCTGAGCCATGCTGGCTCAGGAATTCTGGGAGTTGAAGTCCACGAGTCATAAAAGAGCCAAGGTTGACTACCCCTGGGATAGACAATAAGAGGGTAGCCAAGACAAATGTATAGTGCTAGAATAAAATATATATTATAGACAAATGTATATTTAAAAGATAAATAGATATATAGAAATAAGGGAAAAAGTGTTAATAGTATATTATAAATAGTGAGCAAAGCTCAAGAACTATATGTCTATATGAGTACTAATACTATTGTAAAATATTGGAAGATGTATGGAACCAGTGACGTCATATCTATGTCCAATGTGTTTTTAATTTTGTATTATTAATTAAAAAAATGGAAAAAAAAGTTTGCCTATTAGATGAAAGAGTCATCTGATAGGGAAACTAGTATCAGATTTTGATTTCCTGGAAAAGTGTGAATGAAGCAGAATGTGTCTGATTCATGCTTGAATCAAAACACGTTTTTCATTTTTTGTACAGTATATCTCCAATGTTGACAGTCACCAATATGAAGTGCCTTCATGCCATAAGCAGCACCCGAAGGCAACAGGTTCCCCAGGGTTTTGTTTATATGGTTACATTGACTGAAAATTCTGAGAATTAGAAGGATTCCACATTGTGGAAAGTTGCACTAGCACAGTGGTTCTCAACCTTTTTAATGCCGCGACCCCCAACCGGTCGTAAGTCGAGGACTAAACCGGTCGTAAGTCGAGGACTAAACCAGTCGTAAGTCGAGGACTAAACCGGTCGTAGGCTAAACCGGTCGTAAGTCGAGGACTAAACCGGTCGTAAGTCGAGGACTAAACCGGTTGTAAGTCGAGGACTAAACCGGTCGTAAGTCGAGGACTACCCAACCGGTCGTAAGTCGAGGACTTTCCCTGCCCGGGAGCGCTGCACATGCGTGGTTCCGCCCCCTGCGCCGGCCGAGGCGTAGCTGGCAAGCGGCAGAGACGGAGCAGGCCGACCACCAGCTGGCCCAGCCCAACGAAGATAAGGCACCCGCCGGAAAAGGGGGAAAAAAATGGCAGACAGCCTTGCTTGGCGACCCCCGTGAAATGGTCGATCGACCCCAAATGGGGTTACGACCCATAGGTTGAGAACCACTGCACTAGCATTTGATTCACATATATGTCTTTTGGGGGGAAAAAACTGAGATTTTTTTATTAAGGAATAATCATGCAGGAAGGAAGATCTCCTAAATGCCTTCTCTTCTTAACCCTCTCTCAATTTTAGGAAGCCATGCACATTCTGAATAAAGCATGATTTAAATACTTCTAAATCTGTTATCCAAGCTCTATTCTATAATAGCTGTTGCCAGAAATATGTAGTAGATTTATTTATTTTTTACACGTCTTAAGCAAAACGTTTTAAATTTCTTACAGGGTGGTGAGAATGTTGGCTTTTCTCACGTGGAAGAATCTCCTAACCGGCTTCTGCAGCCATCAGAGCAAAGACATCAGCCGGTGCGGAAGGTCACACTGACAAAAGGGACAGTGCAGCAACCGCATCAGCCTCATCAGCACCTTCTATCACAGATTCATTCTACGTTTTCTCAAGAACTAAAAAATATCCCAGGGATACAACAAGTGAAAAAGGTATTGATTCTGGCTTGTACTGATATCTTCATTAGTTGCTTGAAGAAATAACTTTTCAGGGTTATTGAGACACTGAATTTGTTAACTACATTAGCTGTCGAGGGGGCAGAAAGAGAATTTGTCTTAGTGGTATACATTTGTGATTGTTATTTTGACTTCAGATAAAGCTATGAATGATTAAAACATTCCCAATGTGAATGCTGGTTCTCAGATAACATTCTGGTATCTGATAGTTCTGATTCAATTTTTAACACCTTGAGAAGCATCAAACAGAATTGATGGGAAATGTATTCTAACGTTGCAGATAACTATATTGGGGACTCTTGACCTCAAATCCTTTTGTAAGATGTTTGCAAGTGTGTAATTTCATATTTTTGTAACCCATACATGTTTATTGCCATAATGTACAGCACTGTGCAAAAGTATTAGGCAGTTGTGCAAAAAAGGATGTAAATTAAGAATGCTTTCAGAAATAGAAGTGTTAATAGTTTATTTTTATCAATTAACAAAATGGAAAGTAAATGAACAGAAGAGAAATGCAAATCAAATCAATATTCAGTGTGATCAAAATGCCTTCAAAACAGCATCAATTCTTACACTTGCACAAAGTCAGGGATTTTGTAGGATTAGAGTAAGGTGTATTATGCCAATTACCAAGCAGGTACATACCCACATCATTTTCATAAGGAGGTTGAAACACAGTCATTAACTGAAACAGAAACAGCTGTGTAGGAGGCTTAAAACTGGGTGAGGAACAGTCAAACTCTGCTACTAAGGTGAGGTTATGGAAGATAGTTCCATGTCAGAAATCATACACCATGGCAAAACTGAGCACAAGAACGAGATAAAAGGTAGTTATACAGCCTATACAGTAAGGTCTCTCCCAGGCAAAGATTTCAAATCAGTCTGGGGTTTCAAGATGTGCTGATCAAGCTCTTTTGAAGAAGCACAAAGAAATGGGCAATCTTGAGAACTACAGTAGTGGCCAAAATTGTGGAAACCTTTTGGGAAAAGTGTACAGTAGAAATGCCACCTTTGGTTAAGTTTCCACCCATTTTTCTTCTAATTTCTTTATAACAGTAGCCTTGTTCACTTAATAATACTATTTTACATCGCTTTCTGGACAACCAGTCAACTCTTTGCACCATTATTTTAATTTTATTACGTTTTACAAGCTCACTAAATGAAATTAAAAAAAACCCAACCAACTTGATAGCGATCACATAACACACTGACAAATGTCCTCCTTTCAGCTTCAGTACATGATATCAATAACTGAATCCTACTGTGGTCTGATTGGCTCATTGCCAAAACAAGATGACACCTGATTGGCTCTCTAAACACTCATGCTCATTAGCTACAACCAGATGAAGGAAAGCAACTTAAGCAAGTTGTGCTTCCTTTTTCTGGTTATTTGGCTATAACTTTTCATAGAATACAGTACAGATAATTGAACAAACTATGTTGCATTACATTCTTGATTAAATTATATTTCCATTGATATATAATTGTATGGTACCACTCCAAAAGAAAAGTGGTGTTATTAGCCATCAAACCTCAAAAATACACTTTTCCCAAAAGGTTTCCACAATTTTGGCCACTACTGTATAGTCGCAGTGCTGGCCAAGGAAACTTAATGCAGCGGATGAAAGAAACATCATGCTTACTTCTCTCCAACATCGGAAAATGCCCAGCAGTGCCATCAGCACAGAACTGACAGAAAACAGTAGGATCCAGGCACACCCATCTACTGTCCAGAGAAGACTGACCAAAAATGGTCTTCATGAAAGCCATACATCCGACACAGAAACAAGGATAAGAGACTCAACTGTGCATGAAAACATAGGAATGGGATGTAGAAAAATGACAGTAGGTGCTCTGGAGTGATGAACCAAAATTTGAAATATTTTCAAACTATCAGGAGCCAGTTTGTTCACCAAAGGACTGGAGAGCTATAATAATGAGGATCTGTAGGCAAATGGAGCATGGTGGAAGTTCCTTGAAGTTTGGGACTGCATTTCCACACATGGAGATTTGGTTAGGAACAATGGTGTCCTCAGTGCTAAGAAATAACAGGCAGATGCTTATTCATCATGCCAAACCATCAGGGAGGTGTGTGATTGGCCCCAAATTTATTCTGCAGCTGGATAATGCCTCCAAACATACGGCCAATGCCATTCAGAACTATCTTCAACGTAAAGGAGAAGAAGTCATGGAAGTAATGGTTTGGCCCTCACAGAGCACTGATCTCAACATCACTGAGTCTGTTTAGGATTACAAGAAGATAAAGAAGGATTTGAGGCAGCCTACATCCACAGAAGATTCGTGGTTAATTCTCCAAGATGTTTGGAACAACCTTGAAGGAACATTGCCGAGTTCCTTCAAAAACCGTGTGCAAGAATTGATGCTGTTTTGAAGGGTAATCACACCAAATATTGATTTGATTTGGATTTCTCTTCTGTTCATTTACTTACCATTTTGCCAATTAATGAAACTAAATTACTAACACTTCTATTTTTGAAAGCATTCTTAATTTATAACATTTTTGCACAACTGCCTAATACTTTTACCCAGAACTGTATGTCAGAGTTTGGGGGAACTTATCTTATGGAGTGCCTGCAAAGAGGAAAGAGTTAATTTGAGTTAAGGACACTGCTAGAAATAAAGAGCTCATGAAGGAAAGTGATTTTGCTTTGGCAATCCTTGGCGTTTTGGGACTGTTTTCTTGTAGGGATGGAACTTCTTGTTACATTGGAGTTTTGTTATGATTTCCTGTCTATGTACAGGAAAACTTCTCGTGTCTGGCCTTCAGTTAGATGAAAGAGTGCATCATAGGGCAACATTTTTTGAATCAGTATACCTCAAAAGGGCTGACTTATAGAAAGCATCCACAATTTGGGGCCCATGACTCCTGTGGGATTGAAGTTTGGCAAAGTTGTGGCTGCTTCAGTGCTGTACAGTCAGCCACAACCACATGATCATCACTTCCAGAGTTCCCTCCAGCTTCCTGCAAGAATGGCAGGAAATTAGAAATCCCCCACTGCTGGGTTTGTTTGTTTGTTTGTTTGTTTTTTGCTGGTGGTCATTCTGTTTCACTCTTTAGGTAAGGAAGTATCTCTGAAACGATGACTCAGTAGAGTCATGGGTTTCAGGGGTAGGCAACCGTGGCTCTTTTATGACTCCTGGACTTCAACTCCCAGAATTCCTGAGCCAGCATGGCTCAGCTTGTAAACCTCACCCTTTCCCCTCAGCATGGCTGGCTCAGGAATTCTGGGAGTTGAAGTCCACGAGTCATAAAAGAGCCAAGGTTGCCTACCCCTGTCTCAGCTAGTCCATAATTTGAATGAAAGTGAATCTGAGGGAACTATGACCATCAGCTGGGTTTACAAGTGGAAGTTTAGCCATTTGCCCTCCAACCCTTTTAAGAGAATAGATAACTTTTGTGTTAATCTGACAGATTCCGCAAGCAGAAGCACGAAATCAAAATCCTTTCTTTCTCACCAGGGTATTCTGCATGGGAGAGGCAGGGGGATCACTGGCCTGATGGGCCGAGGCCGCTTGATGCCAAGTAAGCCGAATCTGCGGGTGGTAGAGTGTAAACCTCAGCCCTGTGTCGTGTCAGTGGAAGGCCTTTCTTCATCCACCACGGACATTCAGCTGAAGAACCTGCTCATGTCAGTAGGACCTATCCAGGTAGATCATCTCCCACCTTTGTTATTTTTGCCGGAAATCTTAATTCTTACAAAGCTCTATACCGGTGTTTCTCTACCTGGGCAGTATTAAGATGTTTGGAATACAGTTCCCAGAACTGAAGCCTGAACATCTTAGTATTGCCAAATAGTGAGAATCACTGCTCTATGCATTTGAAAGAAGTGGCACAATAGGAGGCTTTTGCTTGTTAATTACATATATTCAAAGATGGCCACTACCACAGTTATCTAAAAGGGAAAAAAAAAAACAACCTTTTGAATCAATAAAATGTATTCACCTGCATAACCCAGTGAATATTTTTGCAAGCTTGATCCGGTCACTGATTTAACCCATTTTCTGAATTACACATTAAATATAAATCAATCAAACGGACTGAGTTTCTATAGCACCAATAAGCCCCAAGAGAATTAACTAAAAATAAAACTGATCATGCTTCGCAGGTTGCACAAATACAGCCACCAAATCTTTACCTAAGTTGGCTAAAATGTGGCAGGGTGAAGTGCTGTTTTGCATTTTGTACCTATGTGTACTTATTTTGGTTTTTATAGTGCGCTTTTCTGTTCCCTCTGCAGTATCTTAAGAGGAATGGAAAAAATCCATTCATCGCTAACAGGGAAATCTAATGATGAGAATATTCTCTTAAGCAAATATTTTGGTGGATGCACATTTAAGACTGAGCTCTTAAAGGCCCGTTTTGCATGAAACTACCTCCACCCGCTCTCACATCTAGCTAGGTCAAAAGTGGTACCCATGGTTAGGTTCTTCCTTATCATGTATAAGGAGGATCTTATTTTCATTTGATTGTAGCATGTCTTCTAAACCATGAAGTAGCTGCAAAAAGGAGGACTGAGTTATTTTGCAACCACATAATGTAGGGTGCTCCTATTAAAGTTTTATATTATCTATATTTGTATTATCTATATTATCTATCACCTATGAAGGAAGGAGGCAAATGTAGAGCCTGCTGTATAGGGTAAAAATTCTCAATGAAATCTTCTTTGCTGAACAAATCTCCCTTCCTCTCTCCCTGTATTTTAAGTAAAACCTTCACATTCAGTTTGAATAATAACTACCCGTATTTTTCGCACCATAAGACGCACCTGACCATAAGACGCACATAGTTTTTAGACGAGGAAAACAAGAAAAAAAATATTCTATCTAAAATGAAGATAACACTGCATATATCCTTTTTTACCTTTAATATATATGTGTGTGTGTGTGTGTGTGCGTCTGTGTGTCTGTGTCTGTATATATAAAATAAAGGTAAAAAGATATACCGTATGCAGAGTTCTCTTCAATTTAGATGTCAAAAGGGTCTCTCTGTCTCTCTCTTTCTCTTCTCTTTCTCTTTCCTTTTTTCGTTCTTCTTTTTCTCTCTTTCCTCTCCCCCTTTATCTTTCTCTCTCTTTCCTCTCTTTCCCTCTTTCCTCTTTTTCTCTTTCTCTGTCTCTCTTTCTCTTTCCCTCTTTCCTCTTTCCTTTCTCTTTCCTCTCTCTTTCTCTTCTCTTTCCTCTCCCCCTTTCTTTCTCTTTCCTCTCTTTCTCTCTTTCTTCTCCCTTTCTCTCCCTCTTTCCTCTTTTTCTCTTTCCTCTCCCCCCTTTCCTCTCCCTTTCTCCCTTTCTCTCTTTCCTCTTTCTCTCTTTCCTCTCTCTTCTCTTTCCTCTTTTTCTCTTTCTCTTTCCTCTTTTTCTCTCTTTCCTCTCCTTTTTCTCTTTCCTTTCTCTCTTTCCTCTAACTTTCTCTTTCTGTTTCTTTCTTTCTTCCTCTTTCCTTTAACTTTCTCTCTTTCCTCTCTTTCCTCTTTCTTCCTCTTTCCTTTAACTTTCTCTCTCTCTTTCCTCTCTCTTTCTTTCTGTCTGTCCCTGTCTCTCTTTCCTCTCTCTTTCTCTCTTTCTCTTCCTCTTTCCTCTAACTTTCTCTCTCTCTTTCCTCTCTTTCTCTTTCCCTCTCTTTCCTCTCTCTTTCTCTTCTCTTTCTCTTTCCTTTTCTCTTTCCTCTTTTTCTCTCTTTCCTCTCCCCTTTCTTTCTCTTTCTTTCCTCTCTCTTTCCCTCTTTCCTCTTTTTCTCTCTTTCTCTGTCTCTTTCTCTTTCCCTCTTTCCTTTCTCTTTCCTCTCTCTTTCTCTTCTCTTTCCTCTCTCTCTTTTCTCAATCTTTTTTCTCTTTCCTCTCCCCCTCTTTCTTTCTCTCTTTCCTCTCCCCCCTTTCCTCTCCCTTTCTCTCTTTCTCTTTCCTCTCTCTTCTTTCCTCTTTTTCTCTCTTTCCTCTCCCCTTTCTTTCTTTCTCTTTCTTTTTCTTTCTTTCCTCTGTCTTTCCCTCTTTCCTCTCTTTTTCTCTCTTTCTCTGTCTCTTTCTCTTTCCCTCTTTCCTCTCTCTTTCTCTTTCCTCTTTCTCTCTTTCCTCTCTTTCTCTTCCTTTCCTCTTTCTCTCCCTCCCTCTCCCTCCAGGTTAGGAGAGAGAGAGAATGAAAGGCAGACGGCGCCAAACGGGCAGGGAAGGGGGAGCAGGACGCAAGGCAGTGCCTCCCGCCCGCCGTCCCCATCGCTTCCTCGGCTGAATGGGCAGGGAAGGGGGAGCAGGACGGGAGGCAGCGCCTCCCGCCCGCTGTCCCCATTGCCTCCTCGGCCGAACGGGCAGGGAAGGGGGAGCAGGACGGGAGGCAGCGCCTCCCGCCCGCCGTCCCCATCGCCTCCTCGGCCGAACGGGCAGGGAAGAGGGAGCAGGACGCGAGGCAGCGCCTCCCGCCAGCCGTCCCCATCGCCTCCTCGGCCGAACGGGCAGGGAAGAGGGAGCAGGACGCGAGGCAGCGCCTCCCGCCAGCCGTCCCCATCGCCTCCTCGGCCGAACGGGCAGGGAAGGGGGAGCAGGACGCGAGGCAGTGCCTCCTGCCCGCCATCCCCATCGCCTCCTCGGCCGAACGGGTGGGGAGGGGGAGCAGGACAGGAGGCAGCCGAAGAAGCAAGCGGCTAGGAAGCCGCGGCGGCGCCTACCTCCTGCGCCCATCAGTCAGCGAGCCCCGGACCTGCGCCCATCAGCTGGGAGGTCTGGAGACGGAGACGGCTGGCGTGCAGGGCGATGGGGAAGCGGTGGCTCGGCGGGCGCAAGAGGTAGGCGCGCGCGAATGTCAGGCCCACCCGACCATGCAAGGGCTTGCATGGTCGCCGGCGGCGGGGAGCGCGTCAGCGGCCCTTGGGGACCATGCAAGCTCTTGCAGTCGCTCCAGCCGAAGAAGCAAGCGGCTGGGAGGCCGCGGCGGCGCGGTTGGGAGGCCGCGGCGGCGCCTACCTCCTGCGCCCGTCAGCTGGCGAGCCCCGGACCTGCACCCGTAAGCTGGGAGGTCTGGAGACAGAGCCGGCTGGCGTGGAGGGCGATGGGGAAGCGGTGGCTCGGCGGGCGGGGTCCTGCCTGCGCGCGAATGTCAGGCCCACCCGCCCCATCTGTAAAAGAAAACGTCTTCCGCCCAAGCATAACGCCAGCAGTTCTGTGCCACAGAGGCTTGAAACACGGAGGCGCAGAACGCGGAGCGGCGCGGTGGGAGGCGGCATTCGCTCCATAAGACGCACAGACATTTTCCCCCATCTTTTTTGGGGGGAAAAGTGCGTCTTATAGAGTGAAAAATACGGTAACCCTAATCTTAACTTAGCACTAAACAGGGCCCTCTGCCTAATTTTTCCAGATCATCTAAATTTGGCTAGGTGCTGAAACATAGTGTCTCAAGAATGACAGAACTATAGTTTAAAGTGGTAGCAATTGAATTAGGATTAAGCATGTATAATTTAAATAGATTGGCACAGAGACCCACCAGTCTATTGCTCTTGATAGAAATATTTGAGATTAGCACTATCAGCGTTCTCTGAACCAGCTGGGAAAAATGCTTCTTGCCAGTTCCATCTGTCTCTAGGTGAAAATGTCAACCAAAGTACGTTTCTAATTTCAAGGGGATACTAGTACAGAATATCCACAAGTGTTCTTTTTGCTAATAACTTGCCACCTGGTCTTCAAATCTTATTTTGGTGTTATTACTTAAATATTCATTTGCTATGCTTTTTGGTTCTTTTGTTGGGTCTATATAGGAATATTATTTACCTAGAGAAATCTTCTGCAAGAATGAAGAAAGAAAAGAACTCTGGCTATTATTACTATTGTTTCTGGAGCTTAGGACTTTTACCTGGTCACGCTTGGTTGGCAGTTTCCCATTTGTAGGACCTCAAGGCACAATAATTATGTGTACAGGTTGTCTTAATTCAGTGAGAAAACCATATAATAAGAAAACAAAACAAAACAAATGAATGGGCAAGAATTGGACAGAATGAAAGACTTTCACTTTCATAAAGGATAGCCAAATATGAAAGAAAACTGCTGTCATCACGCATTTTACGGCCCACAGGGCACATCCGGCCCTTTGTCTATCCCTGTCTGGTCCACAGCATCAGCGGCATTGGCAATGGAGGGGGATGGGGCATCAGCCCCCCAACAGTCCCAGTTTTTCTTGTCATCATTTGGGAAAAGTAGTTGCCCATTCCTGCTCCACAGAGGTGATTGATGAGCAGGTTAGCCCTGCACACTTGTTGCCACTCTTTTTGTGAAGAGGGTGGTTGACTGCACTGGAAAAATTTCTTATTATCCCTGGAGGCTGTCCATAAATTAGGATCCTAATTGATAAAGGCTGTTTGGTTGTCCATTGCAAGCACTCTGTTTGTATATGTGGAAGGGATAAAGGAAGCAGGATTTTAGCAGGTGGTTAAGTTGTTGGTTTAAACCAGGGGTCTTCAAACTTGGCCCTTTTATGACTTGTGGACTTCAACTCCCAGAATTCCTCAGCCACGCACGCTGGCTGAGGAATTCTGGGAGTTGAAGTCCACAAGTCCAGGGGTGCCTGGCTGAGGAATTCTGGGAGTTGAAGTCCACAAGTCATAAAAGGGCCAAGTTTGAAGACCCCTGGTTTAAATTCTGAGCACGCAGGTGGTCCTTGACTTAACAACCA